TTAACTATGGGGGCTTGCGCCCGTGGGAGACTCGGTTCCACATCTACTAAACCCCATTCGAACTGTTGTATCGGGTGGGGGAAACCCGTGACTAGGTCGTACATATTACTACCCATCGGGGTGTGTTGGCGACAGCCTCTATCCTCAATGGTTAGTCGTATGCACGATCCAATCTTCCCTTCCATCGACCTGTTTGTGTCGAGTGTAGAGGTCTACAATCGTTTTGTCCTATGGGATAGTGCGGCCGTACTCTCTGCGTTTGTATCCCACGAGCGGTGCTCTTTCGAAGGTCCACGCTTAAATTTTTCACCATATTCAGTTTTGGTTATCACATGTGGACTTGGTAATGTAAAAGTGGTCATTGCATTCTCAACCCAAGTAAAATTTAATCATTGAGACATTCAGTACCAGCTAACAATCATAATGGATCCATATAAAGTTGCATTATCTCTATCTCTTTCTCCAAAGACTTTTCTCTTTGTAATTGTACTTTAACTGAACTTTAATCATTTATATTGATTTCATCATCCAAACTTTATCAACTATTCTATAGGATTTATCAACTACAATACAAATATTAGGGAAGATAAAACACCTCTGGCACCTTGAAAATGAAACACTTGCACTTTGTCATGTAGAATCACCCTCTTTTTACTACAATCAATCTTGGCCACATATTTACTTAGTCGGTCCATATCTTCAATTACATCAAACTACTTTAATATGATAACGCCATCAATTATTTTAACTTCTTATTTGGGGTTTTAATTTCACATATGCAATTTTGATTAGTAACTAAAATTGTCCAATAAGTAGTAAAACAAACAAACAAACTATATAATAACATATCAAAAACTTGACCCAAACCATTCAACGCATACTTAGAAGAAATGAATGGCTCGCTCTATAATCAAATAAAATATGATAAGACCATAAAAAAACAAAAGTCGTAATTGTCAATACATCATGTACATCCTTTGGTTCTTACTGGGTTAGATTGTATATTCTATGCCTCACTTATGCTACACTAACCGCTACAATTAACTCTCTATGAGCCTCTCTTGTTGATCCACCAAATCATCTGCCTCCAAACTTGCCATCACTATTGATTGAGGATCCTTAACTAATAATTTTAGATGGGGCTGATGTTAATAGTTTGTAGCTCTTGTTTCTATTTATCATATGTCTATCATTTGGTGTTCTCCATGGACACTGAGTCACTTGGTGACTGCACTGACCACATATGAAATAATGCCTCGTGAATATACATGATTTACTTTCATGTTTCTTCCTATAGATATTGATCAACTTACACTCTCATATATGGTAGGTCCTCCCCACCTAGAATCACTACATCCAAACCAATTCTTTTTCACTAATATGAGCACCTCATGTTGATCCACCAAATCATTTGCCTCCAAACTTACCATCATTATTGGTTGAGGATCCTTCACTAATAATTCTAGATGTGTTTGTTGTTAATAGTTGCTAGCTCTTGCAGTATTGCTTCCTTTTGCCATATATCTACCATCTGGTGCCCTCCACACTGAGTCACTTGGTGACTAGACTAACCGTAGATGAAATAATGTCACGTGATTATACATGATCGACTTGCATGCTTCTTCCTGTAGATATTGATCCACTTACACTCTCCCATATACGGTAGGTCCTCCCCACCTAGAATCAGTACATCCAAACCAAGTCTTCTTCTCACTAACACCACTTCTAGATTATTCTTATGCAAGCCTCTTCATGATGGTATCCTACCTTTATTGAGTGGACATCAATTCATTCTCAACTAGCAGTGCTCTTTCCACGAGCACATAAAAATAAAGAATATGGATCAAAACTTAGGGGTGCCTCAACTATATATCAAACCCCTCAAGAAACTATAACACTTTTTTCAAGAATATTAACCAATTAAGGAGCATAAATGATAAGGGCTATAAAATCTTCCTCATACTGCATTATCATTTTACTCCATGGATAACTATCATGAACGACTCTTGTATCTACTGCATGGCTGATGGTAATATAACTATTGAAAGCCTTAGTAAACTCGTCCAAGGAAATCTCAGCATACAGTCACCTTCAGACTTCTCTCTTCGTTGGCCTATCCACTAATGATTTTCCTCTCCATCCAACCTAAATAATGCTAATGGGACATTCCTACACTTAGAACACTGCATACTATTAATAATACTTCTCAAACCTCATCAGGCAAGCCTCAACTACGAAAGTCTCGACTGCTCTTTGAAATCTTGGAGGCCTCAATCTCAAAAATAAATGGAGATGCCTCTCCACTTCCTCTCCCTTAACTCCCATCATCCTACTTTGAAATTAACCCATAAAATGGGCTACTAATCCAACACATTGCATCATGGATTCTAGATTCATTGCCCCCATAGTACTCTAAACTAAATCAACTTGACTGTAACTCCATTCTTCAGCTACTTTTTGACTTGAGGATTCATGATGTAACAATATTTTATCTATCATAGAAATACATGGTTAAACTATTCACACACATAACATATATATACATAAAATAATACTAAAGTGCCTTGACATTCTCCTTGCATGTGCATATAATTATCTACAACTTTGGTTATGATTCAATTCTTCCAAATCGTTGGTCTGATACCACTGTCATGCCCCAAAATCTAATGAAATAGTTAATTCTTAATCCTAATCATCTCAACCACAATGTAAAATATTTCAGATCCGACTAAGTAATCCAAAAGAATTTAAATAACATAAAATATTGCCCAAATTTCATTTTCAAAAGAATCATACATAAACATTTCAATTCGATTTCATTTTATACATAAAAAATATAATAATTGGATTACAAAATACCTTAATACAAAGCTTTTGATGGTCTTGCCCTTATCAAGCTCTACTCAACCATAACTTTCTTTTTTCATATTATTTCATAAATAATAAACTAAGCTTCGCATGCTTAGTAGTCTATCCCAGCTTTTATAATAGATGTTAATACTCATATTTGTAATGTATAAATAAAATGTTTAAATATTCATTAATATAAATACTTTTTTTGGTAATAAATATAAAAATAAGGGTTACTCATGCTGATATTATTAGAAGGATAACATAAAATGAATAAAACCTCAATGTGCATCAAAATTAACTTTTTTGGAACTTGTTAATTGAAATTGAAAAGTACAAACATTAATATACTTTCACATAAGTATTAGAGTGCATTGTTTAACAGAACTGCGGAAGGATAATTGTCGAGACCGGAAATAATTAAAAAAAAACTACAATGCATTTTTTGTATTTAAATTTATTTCATTTGATAGAATATGTAACATATGAACTATGACATGCATGCCCTAATGTAGGGTGTCAATTCGGGTCGACGAGTCGGGTTCGGGTCGAACCCGAGTTGACCCATATATAAACGGGTCAACCTGAACCCTACCCATTTTTGCAAACGGGTCAGACATTTCAACCCGGACCTGACCCGGCCGGGTTGCCGGGTTGACCAGACCCGCGCGGCAGAGAACGGAGCTTGGGTTTCGCGAGTGTAGCAGTGGGCGACGGTGTGAGGTGAGAGCGCAGGATCAAATTCCCATTAGGTTAAAGCGAACAAATCAATTCTCCTTATAACTCTACTTCCACATATAACTCTATTGAACCTCCCACACTCGAATAAAGTAGATGAGATCACAAATAATCTCTCCAATCCTCATAAAAGTAGACGAGTAAGAGTCAAAAACAAAATTATAATGGAGAATTGAGCTCCTATAATAGAACTCGTAGTGCACATTAACTATCTCCCACGTAAGAACTTCCATCATATGAACATGAATGCACATGCATAGATAAACATACTTAACTTATATACATGATGTAAAACATGAACATGAATATATATTTACAACATTTCATAAAGATGATGCATGTATGCGTTACTTTTACATCAAATATTCACAATTTGAAAAACCATTTATAAGGGATATTTAAAATATCATCCTAAGACTTTTTAATAAATCTTAGCAAATACCAAAATTGTCATTTTCAATAGGAATAATTCAGAAATTTGTATAGATGAAACATACCAGTGAAATATCGATTTCTTACGGTTAAAATGACCAAAATAAAGTATTTTATAGTATTCCATAAAATACAAGATGAAAGATTTGTAATCCTTATTAAAAATATATTTTACTTCATAACTTATCGTAAAAATATCAGAATTGAAATCAGAAATTTGTTATTGGGAGCTAACATGAATCATAACAAATCTCCTAACTAACCTAAAGGGTGAATCTCACACAGCAGCATCTAAACTTCTTCCTCTTCTTTTTCTTTCATCATCTTCTCCTCCTCTCCTACTATTTAGACAAGTAAATTTTTTTTTTCTTTATTTGACTTTTCCTCTAAGTATTGCCACTTGACATTTCTATTGCTATTGTGCTCTTCTTATCTATGCTTTTCCTCATGTCATTGGTAACTGCCCTCTTACTCTAGTAGCCATGGATAACACTAAATTGGCACCAAAATTGTATTATAGATAGTTAAAATATGGTGGGTTTCATTCAGTTTTATCCTACAAATAATGTTGAGGTTAGAGATTGTAAAATTCTTGTTGACCTTGAGCACCTTAGTCTTGTCATATTGTCATATACATTAGTGTAATTTTCATATATTTATTATTTGATTGTGCTAAAAGTCATACTTTTCATGTCTTCAAGCCACATTGCCAACTGTTATAACATCAAAATTTATTCATGTTTGATGCACTTAAATCATGGCATTATATCATATTTTGTTCTAGTTTTACTCAAATTATTCACATGACTTTGTTCATTTTAGCTTACAAATAAGCTTATTAATGTCTTATTTTAAGTAGTCTATCTTTCTACTATTTAACATCTTAAATGAAAGTTACAAATAAGTAAACAAATATATTATATTATAATTATAAGGTAAAATTTCGCGCAGTGTTTAAAATTAATGAAATTCGGACGGCATGAATAATTTCTCCCGTGGAGGCCCGGGTAGCCTTCGCGGAATATTTCCGGTTCCCCCTGCCCTTCCTTGGTTAGGAATTTGGATAGAAGCGCTTTCCGTAGAGTTTTGAAACTAGTGGCGGCGCTTTCTCGAGGGCAAAATGGCTCTTGTACAGGATACCAAAAGCCATAATTTTTTGTGTCTAAAGGCAGCCTTTCTTGCCTTGGAGCCGGCTAACTGCTTCATTTCATTAGCAAGGTACCTTTCCTTTTTATCTTTCCTCATCGCCAGGTAGTTTCGTTTGTTACTGTTTGGTTTTTGTATGAAATATTTCAAGCAAAGTTGGCCTTCGAGACTACAATGCCACAACTAAAGATGTATGAAATATTTAAGTAGGAATTGAGTTAAATTTTGTCAAATGCAAAAAAAGAAAAAAAGAAAAAAGAAAAAAAGGTTGCTCAAATGTCACAGTAAGTTAAAGTCCTCATTTCACTGCGTTTTCCACATTTTGCTCGAAGTCCTTGATTTATTAAATCCAATAGTTTGATGGATTTACGGGATTAAACCGAAGAAGCGCGCGTGAATTTCATTCTCATTTGTATGATATTTCGTATCATTGATTATTCAAAGAAGAATAAATTCTTAGTTTCAAGTTTCTGTTTTGAGGCTCAAAAGGCATCTTTATTTTGATCAGACAAAAGGGAAATTAATCTGAGTGGAAATAAAAAAAAGTAATATCGTGCGGCAGTTTGCTATGCTGAATGATAAATGAAAAAAAGTTGATGGTTTTTTGGTGAGACAAAGATCAATATTTCTGCGCAGAAGCTGAAAATGAAAGTTTTCTCTTGATATTTTTGCCTTAATTTGAATGGAAACTTTGCATTTATTTTTAGCAAAGGTATGCCTCAGCCATATTTGGAATAACATAGTGTTTAGCTATTGACATTTCAGTTATAGTATTCTGGAAATGCTAATGATCTGCGCATATCATTTTCCTATGTCTTTTTTTTTTTGTAAAACATATATTTTGTCTTTACAGGCAAACTTGTGGAGGATCCCTTACTGAAGAAGTTCAGAATTTCATTTTAGAGCTATGTGTTGAAAATTCCGTATGTTTCAAAAATTCTTTTTGCATTTTAAGAATTTGGTCTACTTCTAAGGTTTATTTTTTTTCATCTTATGAGAGGATAGAAGCCTATCCCAAATATTTTATCAATTAAAAGTAGTATTCAAGACGTGTTACAAATAAGTAGATGCATGACTAGTTATAAGTACAAAATAGTTATAGATACAATTTTATGTAGAGAGCCAGTGAATGATTAATTTTGAAGTTCACATGCTTGACTTGAACTTATGAACAATGCTGCAGGAACTAGGGAGCCTATTGCTTGAGCTAGAATTTTTTGTGATATGCTTTGAAATTTCCCTCTCCTAATTTGATGATTTTTCTATGTCTTCCGATTATTTAAAATTAAGGATTTTTGAGTTGTATGTGCTGTTGGATTTTTTTGTCACAATAAGGTATAAAAAAGGTTTGTTCTTCCATTCATTTTGCGACTGCATATGTTGGATTTCATTGATACACATTCGAATTTAGGATTTATGATTAGGATAAGAGACACGACATCTTTGTTTTTACTTTTTAATCTTGACAAAAATGTACTTTGAATATCCTCATCTTGCTGTTAAAGTATTACTTGCACTTCATTTTGTGTAATGTTAGTTCTGATGTTAGTGACATCCAGTGCCAAGCGTGCTGGATATGTTTGTTTTTTTAAAAAAAGCGCTGGATATAGTTGTTGGCTTTCAGACTTAGGCTCACACACATATATCTGTTTTAATTGAATTTTTTTGTTTGTTATTGGACATTTTTAATAATCTGCTCATTCATAACTCAATTAGGCATTATCCATAGTTTTGTCCAGGGATAATACCATTATGTCAATTTTCTACACTAGTGTCCATGATGATTTCACAATTCCTTAGCTTGAGACTAAATTATGTATTACCCGTGTGCCACCAAATTAGCTTGATGGGTAATGTTGGACTAGAGGCTCATTCCATCTAACTTTTGTATCCGTACTATGAGCCAAACCTATACAAATCAATAAATAATGGTTTAACACTGCATGACTATGCTAGTCTACACGAGAAATATAGAACTATTCTGCACAAATTCTTGTAGAATTTGAAGGACAACATTTCTTTATTAATTATGGACGTGAACAACTTAAAGTAAAAGTTAGTAGATTGAATCACGAACCTGACCTTATACAGGCTTTGCCATATAAATCCTTTGTCTATTTAAGAGGACATAATGGAGAAAAAAATTTTTAGCCGACCCCATATAGTGGGATAAAGATTTGATGTTGTTGTTGTTGTTGCAATTCCTTTGTTGTTTTTGTGCCATTTGACGTTTGCTCTAGTTTGTGTGTTAATTGTCCTTACAATAATTGGCCTTTCAAATAATGGATAACTATTGTTGGTCATTACTCAGGGGTATATAATTTTCTAGCTTGATTATGATGAATGCACGAATGGGCTAATTTTACTTTTCTTAGAATAAATTCTATCTTTCTTATCCAGTGCTCCCTCTTTCTCTTTCCTATCGATTCTCTGTTTGTTTCTGATGATCTTTCTCTCACATGGTACTATCTTTCATCCATAAACTCCACTCCTTTATTGTATTCCCTCTTATCTCTCATTTGTTTCTGAGAGATAGGGGTGTCAATTTTTGACACGATCCGAACACGACTCGGAAAAATCCTGGTTCGGGTTGAATAAATCAACCCGTTTTAAAAATCGGGTCGGGTTCGGGTTGACCCAGCAACCCGAAATTGATCCGAAAGTGACACGAAAACTCATATTTGACCCGAAAACCCGAGATTGACCCATTTTGATCCGAAAATCGAATATTGACTCGATTTTGACCCGAAAATTAGCAATTTTAGGTCAACTTCGGGTCATTCGTATCGGGTCACTTTGACCCGGACCCGAATCGGGTCGGGTTCGGGTCCAAAAACCTAACCCGTTTTTAAAAACGGGTCGGGTTCGGGTTGACCCGAACAGTGCCGGGTCAGTTCCGAGTTCGACCCGAACCCGACTCGCTGACCCGAATTGACACCCCTACTGAGAGATATGATCTTTCTCTCACATGGCACCAAACATTCTCTCTAAGCTGGATATCCTCTTATCTCATAACTTCCATTTTATTTTACCCAACGAACTCTCTTTTTCTTTTCACCTCACCTTCCTCAATCAACTTTATTTCTCTTTGCAGGATTCTCTCGCCAAACTTGAGCACTCTTGTCCTCTCTCTAGAAAGACAACTCTCCCATTAGGAATCACTCTCTTTTCCCAATCTTAGGACTTTATTTGAGCCTCTAATTTTTCCTTTCAAGGAAAAAACCCGCAATCCCATCCTTTTTATTCTCTTACCGAAAATCACCAAAGCTAAAATGGGCCCTCCACCCCATTTTCTTTTCTCAATTCATCCAATCATACATTTCCTAAATAAACATAGCATTTAATCTTTTGTCCTACTCCAGATCTTCCCATACGATGTTCTTAATCAGCCATTTTGAAATCCCATGCCATACCTTCCTAATATTCCCTTCTTAAATGAAAAGATCCAATCCAAATTTCTTTAATCATATGATTCCAAAATAAACTAAACCCTAAATGCCTTCATGCAATTTGAGCTAAATAAACAAAACCCTAAATGCCTATATTCAACTTGAGCTATGAGAGATGAGGGGAAAAAAGAAGAATAAAGTTATTCATCGTGTTGGTTTAAAAGTCGTAACTCAATTTATGAGGTTCCCACCAAATGTAGGTTTGGGCTAGGATTGATATATGAAGTCTATCCTCTACATTTTAGAGAGTTTGTTTCCATAACTAGTAGTCATCAAATCTAGGTCACAATGAAGACAACTTAATCATCATCCTGATTGATGTGTTAAATTCATGATTACTCATCAACTTGGCTTGCTTGCTTTGCCCCTGCGCGCCCCCCCTTTTTTTCTTTTCTTACTTGGAATTAGACCATCAACCATTCTTGCAGTCTGCTAGGAGATCACCAAATATTTCTCCCACTGGTTATGAAATACTAATTCTTTCTTCCAATGAAGCTCTTCAACTTCTAAGGAGTACTTCTTTGTACATTTGGAGAATTGATGCTGCACCAGTTTTTCAAAGGACTTTTAGATATGTCAGTGTTTGTTGTTGTAGTGTGAAGCATTTTTAGGGTTTGTTTTTTCCGTTGTCTTTATATTACATTGCTTGAGTTTAATATGCCATTTTAGAAGTTAGATGTTTTTTGAAGCATTAGTAAATAATTTATATCATTGTTTCCTAAGCGATTATCTTATAAGCTGCCTCTTAAGCTTGTTGTAATTCATGATGATTATTATGAATAAAAAGATGAGTTCTTAACTTTACTATGTGTTACCAACTCTAGACTTTGTGCCTCCTCCGTGCTTTGTTCCAGATCCACACTTTGCTCATCTGGGATTATGTGCGTGTGGACTTTTAATTCTTTGTGTTGCTCTGCAATCAAGTTCTGTATTCTCTTAGTTCCTTTAATTGGCGACTTATCTTTTCTCCGTTTGCTGACCCTGGAGTTTCTACATCCAATATAGACATGCATCTTCTGTCATTGTTTCCATGATTTACAGTGAACTACATGTTACAATATTGACAACCTAATTATTTTACCCTGGCTTGCTCTCTATCTTTTCAACTGATTAAACTAAACCAACTTTCTTTTTGTTTAGTCCCATAAATATCCATTGGGAATGACATGGTCTCGGTCTTGATCATGTCCGCATTATGTCTTGTTATGATTATTGTATGACCTGATGATACTTTGCAGGGAAGCTACTTGAAACATCACTTCTAGTGAGCATATAGAATTTGTTTGTTTAAGCAGCATGTGAAGCAAAATAAGTTCTAAGTTTTATGATATTTTTGATGTTCACTAGTCTTTTTCTGCTATATCACCTTTAGGTACATATTAAACCTACTTAAAGATAGACATTGGCTTTCGACAAGTAGAATTTCTAATTTTTTTTTTTTATGTTCATGCTTTTTGTAATTAGTTCTGGTCCTTGATTCATGCACGTGGATTGCATATGCAGGTGCATAGTGATATTTTATTCAACTCTACATATGTAAAGAATATTCTAAAGAAAGTTATAGTTACAGCTGAGTCAACCTGTGAAGTTGTGGTTGAAGGCTTGTATGAAAGGTTTGCTAAAATATCTGCACTTCAGGTAACTATTTAAAATGCTTGCTACTTATTTTAGTTGTGCTTTTCAATTGAGCTGCTGATTCAGTAACAAGATTTATAGTATAATGTTTTTTAATATCCTAATAGGTTAAGGCTGTTTAGTGTCCCAGTGCCCCAACCGTGGGTTAGCTGTCTTGTAGCGCCCCCTACAATCCTAAGGGGGAAGGGTCACTTAAGGGGGAAGGGTCCCCTTTATCTGAAGTTGCATTGGGAGCTTTGTTTCATTCACGGGGTACCGGCTTAATTGGTCTAACCTGGAGTAATTCTTTATCAAAATGAGCTTTTGATACTCAACCTTGTCTCTCCTACTTTGAAAAGGGATTAGTTTTGTTGGTGTTGCCACTAGCTTTTTTTGCATGACATCCTATTGAAAAAAAAAAAAAAAATTTGTTTAGGGGTGTTGAAATTCTGACACCCCAACAGTGGGTTAGCCATGTTACATCGCCCTTTACAATCCCATTAAAGGACCACATCATTGGCCACTTGAGAGGGAAGGGTGCCTCCTTCATTTGAAGTTGCATTTGGAGTTTTCTTTCATTTACGTGGCACCAGCTCAATCGGTCCAAGCTGGAGTAATTCTTTATTAAAATGAGCTTTTGATACTCAACCATGTCTCTCCCGCTTAGAAAAGGGATTAGATTGTTAGCATTGCCACTAGCTTCTTTTGCATGCCATCCTTTTGAAAAAAAAAAAGACAGGTGTAGGGGTGTTGAAATCCAAATGTGGAGTATCTTTGCAGGTGCTCCACGCACCACATGGGCACATTTTTCTTTATGTTGTGTGGACTTGATTTTGGCCATATTATTCTATGCATGACACATACACCAACATGGTTTCTAACAACCTGTATATGGGATGATGCTAAAGCACTTTTAATTCTACTCAAAATTCACTTAAAAAGTAACAAAAATGCTTTTAGAATTGAAACAATACAACTTAAGTACACAAACATTAGGTTAATAAAATGTAAAAATAAGACAAAATAAATATCTAGAAATATTCTAAAGGTGCTTAAAAGATAAAAAATGAATCAAGATATACTCTTATGAAATTCAATCACTTGCTAACCTCTCTACTTCTTACATGCTATTGTGGACTTTGAAAATTCACTCCCGACTCTTTTGAGGGAGTTTTGTTCCTTGTCCAATTTCCAAAAGATAGATTTAATCATATATAAGATGTTGCCCAAAAATTCTCCTTAATTTTAGGACTTAATGATATGGTTCCATGTTTCCCATAGACACAAATGTTTATGGTTAATTACTCTTCCTAAGTGATGAGAGAAACATTTCAATTAAGGCTAGTCATTAGGCACTATGTGCTTAACTTATAGTGACATTAGTTTGATTTTAAAATTTAGATAAAATTTATCACCTTTGGCTTAGAGTGATGGAGTGGGAAATTATGACGAATCTAATCAAGATCCTATGATTCCATTGCCTCATGTTATTATGGCTCCCGGGTCTAGCTAGTCAGTGGATGTAGCCAACCCGACCTTATTTAAGTATCATTGTTGGCAGTTGTGGGTTGTATTGTCCCAGAAGATACTACAGTATTGGGGTAGATGTTTATTTAAGGAAACTTAATATGAACTTAATTAACAGAGGTCTTTGTGCTATATCAAGTGCACGCTACACTTCACAATTTTAGGGGGGGCTGAGCCATTGGGAAACATCTAGACTATGGCCGTGATCGTAATTTAATGGTTCTATTTTATGGCTAAACCTTGCCGTCATAGAATGAAAATCATAAATGTTTCTTAGTGGCACCATTTTGTGCCAAAACCACACATATGGAGGACATGAGCTATGTCTTTTTCTTGCGAGAGATCTTTTGGGAGTAAATATTGATACGTTTGATATGAGATTAGCTCTTTGTGAGTTGAGATTAGTATTAAATGTCTCCTTCGACAAATTATTGCGAAGTGTTGATAGATTGTTACTTCAATTTTAGTGCGATCAATTTTACTTAAATATTTTATATTTAAATATAAGTTTTTTATTTTTTAAAATTTTGTATTTTCTAGAGATTTGATTCTGAAATATTTTATGTTTGAATTTGGTGGCATTTGAAAATAGAGTTTTCTCTTATCGAGATATTTTATTAACTCGACCATCATTAGGGTTTTGTGTTTGATCTTGGTCCTTTTGAGCCTTGTCAATTTTGTATCCTTGCTTATAGAGGATAAGGTTTGTAGATTTTTTTGAACTACCATATAAGCAGGGTAACTTTGAGGTTCACATTTTCTTTGTAAGAAGCTTGAAGGTTTAATGCAAATCTAAAATAAAATATCTTTGTGAAATTTGTAATAGTATGTTTTTTCATGAATTTACTAAATTATTATAATAGTAGAACTTGAAATGATCCTTTTATTATGATCTATTTGAAATTTATTGCTTGAGCTTTGCTCATGGTGTTCAAGTTTTATTGACTTCTTTCATTGTGAGGGGGATTATACTTGAAACTTGGGACTTAGGACCTTTTCTTGTAGGCTTGTTGGAGGACATCTTGCAACATAATGATGAATTGAATTTTGATCTTAAAAAGAGCTTGCAAGTTTTCAAAATGACCACAATTTTTTTTAGCAATTTCATGCTTCTTGAGTGAGTCAAATTCAAATTTGTATTACTATTAGCATGCGCAACATTCTTAGACTCTAAATTCGAGTGTTTACCTCATTTGTCGAGCACATGTGGAGCCGCTTTTGGTGATTCAATGTGTTGTACATGCTTTTTGAAATGACCACGTGACATGTGATATATAGAAATGAACCTTGTCGTTTTGAAAAAAATTCATTCACGAGGGTTTGGAGTGTACTATTATTCATGGGAGCATATTGTTTTTTGAGACATGCATGATTTGCTTTTAATGATTGATGTGCACATCAATTAAAGCAGTAATAAAACCTATGATGAGGAATAGATTGGACCATTTTTTTGGTTTAGAAGTAGTTCACATGAACAAACAAATATTTGAGACGTTTAAAGGTATGATGTGACTGTTGTTCACATGAATTCATTGTCCTTGAAACATGCATGTGGCCTAAATTTTGAGTTTATTATTGTTCGTCTTTTGTTTGCTTGTGTGTGTTGGTTGCGGATCCGATTACAAGCTTCACGAGTTTGGGTCTCTTTTATGTTTTTAAAGGGACACAATTTGATTTTATGTGGCTTATGTTTTACTTGAATGGGCCCTGTAGGGAATTGCTCTTCTATATATAAATAGGAAGCCATTTTAGTTCGTTTTTATTCTCAATTCATTTCATTGAGTGTGTTCGTGAGGGCTATGAATGTTAAAGAGAGTTTTTAGTGCAATCATGAAGTTCTATGCTCGTATTGAACTTTGAAGTTCATCGTAGAGTCCCTTGCTCATGGCTAGGTTTCAAGGTTTTTGTAAGTTTTATGTAAGTCCAATTCAAGCTCTCATTTTAGGTTTTATTCTGGTTTTTATTTTCTTAGACACAACTTAGATGTCAATTTAAGTGGTCATTTAATGTGATTTGCATTTTTAATTTCTTTTTAGTTGTGTTTTCACTTTTTTGGGTCTAGGAAGTTATTTAAGTTCGTTCTGTTTCAAGTCTTGGTCATTGAAAGTTTTGGCAGTGTTTCAACATCACCCTCATGTAGGGTGCATTAAGAGAATGTTGGTTATAAACACCATAGCTCGATCTACTGCTCCCACCACACTAAGAATGATGCATATAGGTCTTCGTACCTGCATGAAAATATTGCAAATAGGATTTCCTCTCCACGAAAAGAAAGTACAAAAACTTTGCAAATAGGTCTTCTCATTTGTACGAAAATTCATAATGTCATCATATATGAATTTATTCTCATAAGTTTAGAGTAGATGGAGTGGGAAATTATGACGAATCTAATCAAGATCCTATGATTCCATTGCCTCATGTTATTATGGCTTCCGGGTCTAGCTAGTCAGTGGATGTATCCTACCAGACCTTATCGAAGTATCATTGTTGGCAGTTGTGGGTTGTATTGTCCCAGAAGATATTGCAGTATTGGGGTAGATGTTTATTTAAGGAAGCTTAAGCTGAACTTAATTAACAGAGGTCTTTGTGCTATATCAAGTGCATGCTACACTTCACAATTTTAGGGGGGCTGAGCCATTGGGAAACATGTAGACTATGGCCGTGATCGTAATTTAATGGTTCTATTTTATGGCTAAACCATGTCGTCATAGAATGAAAATCATAAATGTTTCTTGGTGTAACCATTTGGTGGCAAAACCACACATATGGAGGACACGTGCTATGTCTTTTTCTTGCGAGAAATCTTTTGGGAGTAAATATTGATACGCTTGATATGAGATTGTCTCTTTGTGAGTTGAGATTAGTATTAAATGGCTCCTTTGACAAATTATTGCGAAGTGTTGATGGATTGTTACTTCAAATTTAGTGCGATAATTTTTACTTAAATATTTTATATTTAAATATAAGTTTTTTTTTTAAAATTTTGTATTTTCTAGAGATTTGATTTTGAAATATTTCATGTTTGAATTTGGTGGCATTTGAAAATAGATTTTTCTCTTATTGAGATTTTTTTTCCTCTTATTGAGATATTCTATTAACTCGACCACTATTAGGGTTTGGTGTTTGATCTTGGTCCTTTTGAGCCCTGTCAATTTTGTATCCTTGCTTACAGAGGATAAGGTTTAGAAGTAGTTCACATTTTCTTTGTAAGAAGCTTGAAGATTTAATGCAAATCTAAAATAAAATATCTTTGTGAAATTTGTAATAGTATGCTTTTTCATGAATTTACTAAATTATTATAATAGTAGAACTTGAAATGATTCTTTTATTATGATCTATTTGAAATTTATTGCTTGAGCATTGCTCATGGTGTTCAAGTTTTATTGACTTCTTTCATTGTGAGGGGGATTATACTTGAAACTTGGGACTTAGGACCTTATCTTGTAGGCTTGCTGGAGGACATCTTGCAACATAATGATGAATTTGAGTTTTGATCT